GCTCTTCCAAAAAAAGGGGTTTGGGTAGGGTGAGTTGTTTCGCAGATGTCATATAAGAATTCTACAAAAATACAGTCGAAGGCTCTGGGCTGTTACTTTAGACCAGGCTTCCAAAACCAGAATGCTGGCAACTTGAAGAAAATGCTGGCAGCAGAAGTCAAGGAGGCCAATGCAAAACTGTTTCAGATCATCGTGGAATTCTAGTCTTCCCTTTTCTGGAAGAGGTTTATAGATTGGCCTTCTTGATTATTGCAACAAAACATGGTGTTTTGATTAAAAAAAGGATGGAAAGATGAACTTATTTTGCAAATGGGAGTGGTCTGTAATCATCAAAGCTCTGTATGAAACTCTGATTTGAGACTTAAAGGGCGTAGCGTATGGCATTTTTAAAGGTAGAAATCAAGCTTAGTGGGTTTACTGCTTTTTAGATTGATTACAGTAAGAATTACAGTGATAGCATCATGTCAGCTCTGCTGAGAATGTATATTTCAGACAAGAATTTTCTTCTTTTTTTTTTTTCTTTCAGAGTGAGACTGTAATTATGGAACAGAAATCCAGAAAATGACAGAAAAACATTAGTTGCCCTCTTCTAGGACAGTCATGTTGGAAGGATTGGTAGCCTGGGTCCTCAACACCTATTTGGGCAAATATGTCAATAACCTGAACACAGACCAGCTTTCAGTCGCTCTTCTAAAGGGTGAGGCTTTGTGGTATTTTCTGTAGTGTTTTCGTACTGTGATTTAAAAAAAAAAAAAAAAGAAGCGGTATGTTTTTGTAATAACTAGAAGGTGGAATAAAAACAATCACCTAATATTGTGTTTAACGTTTATGTAAGCCCTTTTAATGTAGAGTTTTGTGCTAGCATTCTACAAAGTATAGTAAATTTTCTTGTGCTCCTATCTTTGTTGCTTTTTATCAACATGGTTAAACCAATTTATATGAAACTCTCTCAAAAGTATGCTTAGCATATCTTATCAGCATGTTTAATTTATATAATATTTGAGTGTTATCCTTCTTAATACTGTGCAGTAACTTTCCTGTTGAGGAGCTATGGCAGGGAGTATTCTGTATTTACTCTTATACTTTGGTGCTAGTAGTTACTCGTGTAATTTAGACTTCTGGTGTATGTCATGTTATGTTCACGAGTCTTGTACTTTTACGGAGTCCTCAAATCAATGCTTTCTAATTTACCTCTCGCTGCTATTATCTGCTGGTTTTGGAGAGAGTATTTTATAATACTTCAGAGCTTTTTTGTGCATGCTTTTTGTAATATTGAGAAAATACTTGAAATATCTCTTTTGAAAAGACAAAGAGTAGAAGTTTTCTCCTCGGTCACAATAAAGTTCAGACCTGAAACCTTGCAGAAGATTGCTCCTAGATGCCCTCATCAAATAGTTTGAGCACATGGCATTAGGAAATTAACAAGTACATTAAATAACCATCGCAATTGAAACACAACTTGAAGTGGTAGGTTGGCTGTTCTCATTAAATCCTATTTGATTTTTTTTCTAGTCATTTTAGGCTTATAATGTTCAAGCTGGCATTCTTTAACATAATTTTCTTTAACAGACTTGCCTTCTTTTTCTGCTTTGTATAGGTGCTGTTGAATTGGAAAACTTGCCACTGAAGAAAGATGCCTTGAAGGAACTGGAATTACCATTTGAAGTAAAGGCAGGTTTGTATTTTGCTTGTGTGTGCAGGACAGACAATTATAGACAGGAAGTGTTGCATATTTCAGAAGAACCTTTACCTGTGAGTCAGAAGCTTGAACAAATTAGGTAACCTGGTTTTCAGGTAATCCAGTTCTATTTTAGCGTGTTTGTTTCTTGGTTTTCCAAGGATGATAAAGTATGTTTACACTGGAATCTGATAGCATCTCTGTTTTGTATATCTAGGTTTCATTGGCAAAATAACACTACAGATACCTTTTTATCGCCCACATGTGGACCCATGGGTGATATCTGTCTCAAAACTGCACTTAATTGGTGCACCAGAAAAAAAAGAAGGTTTTGATGAGGAAAAGGAGAAGTTGCAAGAAAGAGAACACAAGAAAGCCCTTCTTCTAGCACTTGAAGAAAAATGGAAAGTGAGTCACACTTGTCTTTTGTGGTGAAGAAACAGCTATGGTAGATGGATTGCGTTTAAGTCTCCTGACAAGTAGGAGAATGGGAATGCATAGGAAACTAAGTTAGAATTTGATTCAAACATG